ATGTGACATGTGTCGTGTGTCACTTGTGTGCCACGTGTGTGGTGTGACATTTGTGATGTGTATGACGTTTGTGTGACACGTGCATATGTGACACATCTGTGACACCTGGCACATGTGTGGCACATCTGTGACACCTGTGTGACATGGCGACACATGTGTGTGATGTGTTACACGTTGTGTGACAGGTGTGAAGTGTGACACGTGTGATGTATGTGAGACGTGTGATGTGCGACAAAAGACGTGACTTGAGTGCGACGTGTGTGTGAGATTTATGACATGACGTGTAACACATGAGACATTTCTGACGTGGGTGATGTGTGTGACACCTGTGTGACATCTGTGTAACGTGTGATGTCTTGACACATGTGCGACAATATGAAACGTTTGTGTCATGTGTGTGATACACGCTGTGCCCCACCTATGCACTGGCCCCACTCACAGCCTAGAGCACACCCTTACTGGACGTCACGCCCCTTGTCCCTCATTTGCCCACCCCAACAGAGGCCTCGTACACTCCTACCACCCACCCCTTACCCTGGACCACGCCCACACTCCTACATTAGCCCAACCCACAGCACAGACCACACCCCAAGGACTTTATTATCCTTGGACTACTCCTTGTGCCCCGTTAAGTGCCCCAATGTCATTAATTCTTTTATTCACTTTCATTTTTATTAACTTTTTCATAATTTAAAATCACTTTTAGTCACTTTTCATAGACTTTCTTCAGTTTACTTCATTTTTTATTTGGTTTTTAATCACTTTTTGTCACTTTTTTGTTCACTTTTATTCTATTCAGATTGATTCACTTTTATTCCCTTTTTAATCACTTCATGATGGGCCTGGGCTAGGAACAGGGCTAAAGCAGGGTTAATAAAGGCCTGATGGTGCAGTCTGTGCTGTGGAAGGGCTATGCGCGGCGCGGTGTTAGTGAAGGCTGGGGGGTGTGGCCTGTTCTGTGGGAAGGGCTAATGTAAGAGCGTGAGCGTGGTCTATGGTAAGAGATGGGCACCGGGGAAGGTGTCAGCCGGGCTGTGGGTGGGGCCAGTGCACAGGGGGCGTGGTCAGGCCCGGGGGCAGGGCTAGTGCAGGGTGGAGGTGTGGTCTAGACAAGGGGCTGATGTCATGCGGCTGGGGTGGGCTGGGACTGCGCTGCGGTCGTGGCCTAGGCTGTGGCTCGGGCTAGGGGCTCGGCCATGAGTGTGGTCGGGGTTAGGGCAGGGTCGCTGACTGGGGGGTGTGGTCTCAGCTAGGGGCAGGCTCCTGGTTGGCCTGGGGTGGAGGCACGGGGGGTGACAGGGGCGTGCCTCGGGCAGCGGGGTGGTCAGGGTTCCGGGCGGGGTTAGTAAAGGACCGGGGGTGTGTCCAGGCTGGGCGCATGCTCCAAAGAGGGCGGGGCCATGCTTAGCGGTATCTCCTTGGCAAGGAATGTGGGCGTGGTCAGGGCGGGGCACAGGGCACGGCTACAAGGGTGGGTGGGCAAATCGGCCACAGGCGGCACCACAGGCAGCGGGCGGTGTGGGGTCAGCTCCTGTGTGGGGTGTGGTCTGCGTTGGGGGCAGGGCTACCGGGGAATGTAAAAAGAGAAAAAAAGGGAATGAGCCTAAGTGAAACTCAAAAAGAAGTGAATGAAAGTCCATAAAAATGAATTAAAGTCAACAGAAAAACTGATTTGTGTTTGGGGCACAAGGTGGTAATGGGGGCCCTAAGGGGCACCATGGAGGCTGATGATGCTCCTGATGCCATCGCAGTCCTGGCGACATCACACCACCATAAATCAAAAAGAGCCGTGGGGGTGTGTGTCTGTAGGGAACTATGGGGCATTGGGGCTGGGCATCTATGGGGTGCTGTGGCAGTGGAGGGAGTCTGTGGGGCATTATGGGTCGTCATGGGGCCATGTGTGCATCTATAAGGAACCTAGCAATTGCTTTGGGTCTCTATGAGCTGTCCATGGGTGGCCATGCATTTCTATGGGGCATATACAGGTCACTATTGTATGTCCATGGGGTATCTATGGGTCACTGTGGGTCATTATGGGGATCTGTGGGTTACTATGGGTGTCTTATGAATCGCTATGGAGTGTCCATCAGTTACTGTGGGTCTCTATGCCATGTCTATAGGTTGTCTATGAGGCTGGGGGGTGCCCTACAGGGGATTCAAGAGGGAGCCTATGGCGCTTTATGGGGCCTCTTGGGGTTTCCATGGGGTGCTGTGGATGGCTAGGGGGTGTCTATGGGTCACTGTGTGGTGACTATGGGTCTCTTATAAGTCACTATTGCGTGTCTATGGGTTGCTCTGGAACTCTACAGCATGTTTATAGAGAGTCTATGAGCCAGGGAGGGGGGAGCCTATAGGGGCTCTACTGAGGTCTATGGGGCTCTGTGGGGTGTCCATAGGTTGCTCTGGGTGGCCATCGGGTATTTAAAAAAAAAAAAAAAAGTTAGTAAAAGTGACTAAATCAGATCTGAAGAAAAGTGAATAAAAGTGAACAAGCCTGAATAAAACTTGAATAAAAGCAAATGAAAGGTTAAAAAAAAAGAAAAGAAAATGAATTAAAAAAAAAATCTATTGGTGGTGCGGTACTGATGAGTTGCAGATGGATAGTGGGGGCCATAATGGGAGCCATGTCATGGATGATGCTGTCATTACCATCCTGGTGACATCATGATGGCACGTGTCAATAAAAGCTGTGGGACATATTTTATGGGTTCATAGGGCTCTATAGGACTAGGGAGGGGATGTGTCGATCGGTCTCTGTGGGGGACATAGAATGGCATCAGCAAGCAGTTCTGGGGTGCAAGATTAAAATCACAACCCTTTTGCCCCCAGGTGCAGCTCGTTACTTCGTTCCTATCATAACTGCCGTTTACACAGATCCCCAAGAAAAAGGAGGGGGGGCTCTGCCTGAAAGACATTAGAGGGACAACACCCCCAACCCGCCAGTTGCCGCGGTGCTCGTCAATCCCTCCCGGAACGACACTCCCGCGCTGCCATTGGCCATCACGCCCCGCAGCCGTCATTGGCCACCGCTCCCGTCAATCACTTCCGAGACACACACACACACACACACACACACACACACACACACACACACACACACGCATGCACGCACACACACACACATACACCCACCCCCCCATCCCCCCCCCACCCCCGCCATGTTCTCATTGTCCGCCGCGCCCAGCACCACCTCCAGTACTACGGTTTGGACAGAGGGTGGCAGCAGCACTACCAAAAAATCCCAAACAGCATGTTTTTCTCCCCCAAAAATTCTGCAAATCCCCTCTCCCCACATCGCCTTGCAGACCCAGAATCTGGGGGTCTGGAGTATTTTTGGGGCACCACAGTGTGTTGAGCATCATGAAACGTCTGCAACAAGTCACCCGAAAAACAGAAAACAGAAATCCAAATTGTATTTCTATGTTATAAAAAAGAGAAAAAAAAACACACAATCAAAAACCTACCAATGAAACAAAAAAGGCTTTTACAGTAAAAAATAAAGTCTGTTTCTTCTGAACAGTTGAACTCTTACATACAGGTTTTTTCCTCTTTTGTTGCAAAAACTATTTTCTCACTATCATTTAACAGTTAACCACACAGACACTTCTTTCAGGAAAACTAAAGCTTTGCATAGGCGTAACAGCTCCGCAATGGGCCTTATGTTGAGTATTTGTCTTTAAATCTTTCATAGAAAAAAACAGAGAAAGAGAGCGGGCACCTTCTTTATGTCATCTTTAAATCTCATGCTACAAGCACCGCAGGAAAAACGCAGACATGCATCACAGACATACCTTGCGTCACAGACCATGGATTCGGATTCTTCTGTTTTGTCCTTCCATGGCAAAAGAAAGGGTGACCATGGTGGCAGTTGACATCTAGCTGGGAGAGGGAAAATGTACCCCAAAACCTTTATCATCAAGCTGGGTGGGCTCCTGCCCTGGTTTCAGCAGTAGCAGTCATTTTCTCCTTAGTACCTGGTGCAGTGCTGTGTTTTCAACTTTAGTCTGAGAACACTGATAACACCGATGGTTTTAGTAGTTGCTAAGTAATGTTTACTCTGATAAAGGACTTTTCAGTCTCATGCTCTGCCAGTGAGGAGGGGCACAGGAAGCTGGGAGGAAGCGGAGACAGGACACGTGATCCAAACTAGCCAGAGAGGCATTCCATACTACAGCATTCCATACATCATGCCCAGGATAAAAACAGGGGGGAGTTACATGGAAGGCCCAGATAGCTGCTCGGGTTGGGCTGGGTATTGGCTGGCGGGTGCTCAGCAGTTGAACTGTGCATCACTTGTGTTTATTCCTTTCCTTTTCCTCTTTTAGTTCCATTTCTCTCCCCTTGTTATTTACCTTATCATCATTATTATTATTGGTGGTAGCAGTACTGGTTTTGTGTTACACCTTAGTTACCAGACTGTTCTTATCTCAACCTATGGCAGTTACATTCTTTTGATTCTCCTTCCCATCCCTCTAGAAAGAAGCAGGGGGGGGATGAACAAGCAGTTGCGTGGTTCTGAGTTACCAGCTGGACTTAAAAAACAACAAGAGTCTAAAGCTTCCTTTTTTTATGAAGGCTACAAATAAGCAGAAGAAAAAAGTATTTTGCACCATCTCTGGTACAGTTAGTGAAAGAGAAATGGAGCAAGAAAATGGAGGGTGCAGGACCAGGGCATAAACATGTTGGAGCGTGGGTGGGGAAGGAGAGAAGGAGAGATGAGGGCAGTAGTGGAGCACAGGACGTGTGGACAGAGCAAGATAAAGAAGAGAGGGAAGAGAACAAAGGGATTAAGAAATAAAGAAAGGGTCAGATCTGTAAGAAATGACCAAGAAGGAAAACCATCTAAAACCAGAAATTGGCCAGAGGACAGAAACAGAGGAAGAAAGAAAAGGGGCCAGGGAGCAGGACAGAAGAGGAGAGAAAGGGAAAAAGAGCTAGCTGGATGGAGAGGCATAGCAAGGAATGAGGGGACAGGCAGCAGGCAGAGAAAGAGAGACAGGGAGTTACTTCAGCAGTTGCTGCTGAAACTGCTCATCCATGGCTGCAAGAACTTTGCGTTCTATTCTGTGCAAAATGCACCGGGGAAGCAAGAGACTTGCAAAAACCAGATTACAAAGGATTGTGGTGGTTCCATCCTCAGTCAGCCTGTGTGGTCACTTCCATGTCAGGGACAGTGCCTGGTATCCTGAACACCCACAGCAGTACCTTAGTTCCAGCTGCAGAGCCCTCCTCCTCCATCCAACGGGAAGCCTTGCTAAGCTTTCTGGAAATGTCTTCTCTCTGCTCCCCTGAGGAGAAAAAACAATGCTCCTCCTCGTGAAGCTTCTCCTGCAAAGAACAAAACAAGCGCTCCCATCAAATACCACTGAGCGTGGAAGCATAAAACCACCCATCACCCCCTTGAAACCGGGCTGGAACGTAGACTCCTGGAGTGCTGCCTGCACTGGCCAGGAGATCTTCACTCACCTTCCCACATCTGAGCTCCTGCTCTCAATGTTACCAGGAGCATGATGGCAACACAGCAAGTATACAGACACATGCACACCAGGTATGTGACGGAAAAGCTGTAACCACGGTAACTTCACATGCACTTAACTGCACAGCAATGGTTCTTGAGAAGCTGTATCTTCTTCATAGCCTGAGTGCAAGCATTCCACAACACCTGGGCAGGCACACAGAAAGATACTGTGAACGTAAAACTTAACATGTTAGACACACTTGGAAAAAGTCTTACATTTCTATCAAGTCCCCGTGGGCTTAGCAAGCCTAGAGGTAGTAGAAAAATGACTGAAAGATGAAAGCTGGGCTCTTCAAATCATCTCCCCCCAGCCCAAGAAACTCTTCTGCATTCAGATCAGCCAATCTGCACAAGTTACAATGGTACAACGGGCCATTAAAAACTACACTGAGAGCAATGGATGGTGGGACTTTCAAACACTGGGATACACATTTACCAAAAGCCACCTGGTTGGTCACACCAAGGGATCTGCCAACAGGGCTGGCCCACCCCAATCAGAACTTTTACATAGAGAGGCATAACATTCCTGTGGTCCACATAAAGAATCTGTTGGGGAAGACAGCCTGGGTTATTCCTGCTTCAGGTAAAGGCAAACCTACCAGTGGGATTGCTTTTGCTCAGGGACCTGGAAATACTTGGTGGGTAATGCGGGAAGACTGGGGAAGTCTGGTGTGTACCTCAAGGGGATTTAATTTTGGGAGAAAACAGCCAATGGACTCAATTATCTGCTGTTGACTGCTATGTAACACTTCTATAGCCCATGAGCTAGATGCCCATCTCTGCCATTCTGGGCTTTGAAGAAAAGATATGGGCTGTCATGATCATCAGCAGATAATAAAAGTCATGGGAAAAGCCAGCAGCAACAGCAGAACTGTCCTCAGATCACCATCAACTGACCCTGACTTCCCTCCGATTATCACCCCAACAAACAAGGAACTTTGATGAAACCAGATGAGCTCAGCAGTAACCAGACAAGTTTGGCAGTGTCGTCAGCAGGCAATAACCTAATACTTCAGTCTGGGAAGAGTGCTGATAAGTCACCGATGTTTTTAGCTCTTGCTGAGTAATGCTTACTCTGATCAAGGACTTTTCAGACTCATGCTCTACCAGTGAGGAGGGGGAAACCAGAAGGAAGCAGAGACAGGACACCTGCCACAGAAAATATATGGACTCAGTCAGAGAGCAATATGATCAGACAAAAGCCATTTATTACAAAGCCTTAATCCCTTAAATACTGTTTCTTACATGCACTTACAGTGATTTGGCATATTATGACTGGATACATGTCTTGAAGACCCTTAGTGACTAACATATAATTGGTTAAGCACAGGTGTGAGAACTTTACCTCGAAAGCTTGCCAACAGTCCACAGTTCTCATTAACTTGGTGAAATCCAGCTTCTTCTTATCTTGTTTAGGCTTCCTCAGGCCTCTCATGGCCTTGCTGTATCTTTCAGGATTATTCAGAGTTTATGTACCAATTATCCATTCTCCTGTGAGAACACTGCCTCCACAGACACCTGACCTGTCAAACTAGCCAAAGGGGTATTCCATATCGCAGCACATCATGCCCAGGATAGAAACTGGGCGCAGCTACCCAGAAGGGCGAGATTGCTGCTCGGGTTCGGCTGGGTATCGGTCAGTGGGTGGCGAGCAATTGTATTCTCTCCCCTTTTTATTTCCCTTATCATTATTATTACTGGTGGTAGCAGTAGTGGTTTCTGTTATACCTTGGTTACTGGACTGTTCTTATCTCAACCCATGGGAGTTACATTCTTTCCATTCTCCTCCCCATTCCTCTAGGAGCAGGGGTAGAAAGAAGGGGGTGGAGTGAGCAAGTGGCTGCTAGGTTCTGAGTTACCAGCTAGGCTTAAACCATGACAAGACACTTCTACCTGCTCTCCTGGTCTTCTAATTTCTTGATATCCTTCTCTTACCTGGGTCCCAAAGATGAATGACTCCAAGCTGTTGGCCAAGTTCTATCTTTCTTGTTTCTCTAGATCTCGGATCATCAAGTCTTGGAGTCTAGCATGCAAAGAGAACAGTAATCAAAGGTAGCAAGTGCCTTTAGCTGAGCAGCACATCATATACATAAGCTTCTGATGACAGTAGCGCTACATGATCCACCACCATTCCAAAGCAATTCACTTCCTCTACATGGAGCTTTAACCCAGCAGAGCCATTTCAAACATCCTTTTTCATCAAGCTCTTCACTTCGTCCTCCAGCAGGTAGGGCACATCGTTTACACCCAGTTCCACAGGGATTTCATGGACAAGCTTCGGCTTCTTGGGTGCTTTGATATTCTTCCCTTCCTCTGTTTCGATAACTGTGCTGTCACTGGAACTTTTGGATAGTTCTTCCTCTCTTGCATTTTCTCTATTTCCTTTGGGATCCTGTAACAGAAAAAATACATTGTCAGGCAGGGGAACAGATTTGCAGGTTTTCCAGATTTTTTCTCAGGGCAGGGGACAAACAGGGAAAGAAGAGTTCACATGCGGAAACTCTGTGAGAGAAACAGTGTTGTTTTCACAATATCAGGGATGGGGCTTTGCAATATTAAGACTTTGCAATAGTGGGGCTGGGGCTAAGTTACTAAGGAAATGAAACAAAGGGTTTCAAATATGATGACTTAAACAGACACGCTCTGTGGTTAAAGACAATGTCATCTTTGGGTGATAGACACACTCTGTGGTTAAAAAGAATGCTATCTTTGTACAACCTATGAAAACTTAGCTGGTGAAAACTGGTTCTGTAGTTAAACAGTAATTTGGGGTACCACATGTCTGCCAGAGAGTTATGAAATTGAACCATAAAAGGAGATAAGAGGAAGGGGTGTGTTGCAGAATGACTCTAAGAGCAGGACCATAGAGTTCTGGAGGACTGTGCAAGCAAGGCAGAGGGTGGCCCCCACAGGTAGCTGGAGACCGGACCTGGGAGGAGAATGTGGAGGAAGCTGTGGGGGGCTAACCAATACTGTTGTGCCAAGGAGTGGCTGAATACCACTCCTATATATGTGTGAACTGCGTCACAAATAAAGTAGAAGTTGCTCATCACCCATATTGGGTTGGCCTGTCTGCTTCTCCTCGCCGCTTACAGGGGTGTACAAAAAAAAGAATAAGGGAAGGTGTGACCAGAGGCGGGACAGTTAGCACATAGATTATACATGTCAGATACGCTGTAAACCTTGGAGTCCACACCCAACGGGAAAACTTGGGAAAAGGGAGGGAGCTTGCAGACAGGATAGGAAAAAACAAATCAAAGTTCTGGTTTTGCTCTGTGTGCCTACTTGCCAGGACACTCATTTTCGCACAAACGTTAAATAAATACCTGCTTCACTGCTGTGTCTGACCGAGGCCTGCATGAACCTAGAGACCATTTCTCACCATTCAACTTCACAGACACCAAAATTCAAGACCCATTCCCTCAGCGGGATGCTCATCCAAGACTCCAACATCTCGCCTTCTTCCTTTTTCTGGGATTCCGCTCTGGGAGGGGCAGTTTCTGCCTGACCTGGAGACTGCTGCTTCCCTTCTCCCTGCTCTTCACTGGTATCTTCTGCACTGCTTTTCTGGACTTGCTTCTTCCCCCTTCTCTTCTTCACCCATCTCTTCTCCTTCCTGCTCATCACAGGCAAGCAATGGGGAAAACAAAACAGTTGTGTATTTTTTTAAATATAGAAATCCCACGCAAGCGTTTCCCAGAAGAGACAATCCCCTGCAAAAAAAAACACATGTACAAAAACCAGCACTCACAGCGACTGCAGCCATTAGCGAGGGCCTGTGTTTGAGCTACAGTAGGAACTAAGAGTCACCTCAGTGCAGGACACGACTCCGTGACGAAGCACAAAGCCTGCTGGACACCTGCACAGACAACACATGGCCTAGAGCCTGTCCACAGAGCACCAGGACAACCTGGGAATGAGAGACTTCCCCAGAAACAAGTCCTGGAACATTTTCAATTAATCCTCAAATAACCTCCTGTGACACCACACTCATTTTCAGCTGCACAGAGAGACCAATAAGGTCATATATATTTTGTACTGTAGGGTGCTGTATGCATAGCCTGCGTACTGGGCCATCCACAGCTATCTCATACATTAAACAAACAAATATTTAAAGTGCATTTGTAGAGCTTTAATGCGATACAGTCCGTTTAGTTTTTAGGCAGCATAATTTTTAGATGGCATAAAATTAGGTGAACAAGCCTTAGTTCAACTGCTCCTAGATCTAAAGCCTTCACCTCGATGATCAGAGCAAATCAGCAGCAGAGCAAATAAAGATTCTGCCCGCTCTCAACAGACTGAGACTTGAAATGACTTCGCATAAAATAGAGAAGCCCTAAAGAAACCCACTCTGGTAACTCAATGTATCTCCTGCTACAGGCACCTTGCAACACAGATGAAATTCTGGATCAGCTCCCTCACAACACTGTCTCTGTATCTAGAATAGGAAGCGTTTATGAAGAAACCTAATGACTTTATTGCAGCAAGGCAGGTGTCCAGGAGAGCAGCAGCAGCAACTGAAATCCCTGCTGCCAGTGTCAACAGAAAAGCTGTGATTAGCTGGGATCTACCAAGGCACAAAACACCAAGGTCTATTTGCAGAACAAAAGGAGGGCAATGAGCGCTGCCCCTGCTGCAGATCTCACTGATTTCATGAAGAGAGAATTTCAGTCTCCAGATCCTTCAGCATTTTAAAGGCTATGGTGAACAGCCTCATTTCCAAAATAACTGCAATCTTAGAATGGAAGTGAGGAACAGGGAATTCATTGGCTAGTTTCTAAACGGGTATTTCCATCTTCGTCCCTTTCCCTATGAATGAAGATTGTGATAAACACATAAATGTACTGGCTTTTGCAAATCATAGGTGTGGTTATGTGGATATAACTGTATGAGCTTACAATAACAGAAACAAAACTCACTAAAGACACAAGACTAGACAACAAGTTTAAAAGGTTCAGATCTCTTGAACAAACCAGAGTCACATAGCAAAAGAATTTGTAAAGGCAAAAAAAAAGAAGGGGGGGGCTTGATATAAGGAAAGCTAGTGCCTGGAAAACATAAAGTACTTTTTTAGCTTAACTTAGGTTGTAGAAAGAGAACAATGTTTATGTTGTAAGTCTGTGGAATGTAGTGGCCCCACTAAACATGAGTTAATTGTTCCACACTAGTCTTCTACAGGGTCTTTAGTTTTAAAGAGCAATGCTTGTGTTGTAAGTCTGTGGTGAGATAACAGGATTTAGTGGCCCCACTAAACATGAATGAGTTATTTCACACCATCCTTCTACTTATCAGTTAGTTTAGAGACAGAGCCTCCCAAGCATCTGCTAGCTTGGGAAGGTCACAGTTTTAAATCTTTGCTAGTTCTCAGAATAATTACAGATATAGCTGGTTGTGTGATTGCTGTGCCAAAGGTGAAAAGTACACTGTGAGGAAGACTGCTTACTTCCGTCTTGAAGACCCCTACTCACAAGAGGAAGACTGTTTACCTCATCCTCAAGACCCCTACTCACAGTCACCGCAGAGCAGTGTACAGACGCCAAGAGGAGGAGACTTACGATAATAAATTCTTGAGGCTAGTTATAATATCCCCCGCCTATATGCGGGAATTATGACTATGTATGTAACTAATGTAATAGTGAAAGTATATAAACCTGTAACAAATGCTAATCACTTGCGCCTCTGGCTACGGTCATGTGCCCAGCACTGCTGCTTTTGCTTTACTGACTTTGTCCCTCAATAAAACCTTGTTATCTTGTTTAGAGGAGTGAGCTGGTATTTCACAAAGATGCAGTATGAATTAAGGACCTTCGGGTGACTCCCCCACTTTCTTTACTCCCCTCAGAACCGAGCATGATGTGCTCTGGTATGTAGGGAATACTCCTTTGGCTAGCTCAGGTTCGGTGTCCGGTCTCTGCTCCCCCCCAAGCTACTTGTGCCCCTCCTCACCGGCAGAGGAGGAGGGACCAAAATGTCCTTGATCAGGTGTGATAAACACAAATGTATTGGCTTTCACAAATCATAGGTGTTGCTATGTGGATATAACTGTTTATAACTGTTCACAAAGATTGCTAAAGACACAAGATTAGACAACAAGTTGAAAATAGCCAGAACTCTTCAGCAAAAGAAGAGCAAAAGAATTTGTAAAGGTAAAAGAAGGGGGGGGGGGGGGGGGGCTTGATATGAGGAAAGCTAGTGCCTGGAAAACATAGGGTTAAAGTACTTTTAGCTTAACTTAGGTCAAAGATAAAGAACAGTGTTTATGTTGTAAGTCTGTGGAATTTAGCAGCCTCACTAAACATGAGTAAATTATTTCACACTATCCTTCTACTTACAGTTAAGAGACAGAGCCTCCCGAACATCTGCTAGCTTTGGATACTCCTTGTCTGCCCATCCTGCAATAAATTCTGCAGGAAGGTCACACTGTTCTAAATCTTTGCCAGATATCAGAAAAATTATGGATCTGGCTGGTTTCAGCTAGTTGTGTGATTACTGGGGCATCCAACTATGCCAAAGGTGAAAAGTGCACCACCGTGAGGAAGACTGCTTACTTCATATTGAAGACCCGTGCCTGCATGAGGAAGACTGCTCACTTCATCCTCAAGACCCCTGCCCACAATCACCGAATGCAGTGCACGGATGCCAAGAGGAGGAGTCTTATGATAATCACAGAATCACAGAATAGTTAGGGTTGGAAAGGACCTTAAGATCATCTAGTTCCAACCCCCTGCCATGGGCAGGGACACCTCACACTAAACCATGCCACCTAAGGCTTCGTCCAACCTGGCCCTGAACGCTGCCAGGGATGAAGCATTCACAACCTCCCTGGGCAAGTAAGTTCCTGGAGCTAGTTATAATATTCCCCACTTATACGCGGGAATTATGATTATGTATATGACTAATACAATAGTGAAAGTGTATAAACCTGTAACAATTGCTAATCAGTGCGCCTCTGGCTACGGTCAGCCCAGCGCTGTTACTTTGGCTTTATTGACTTCGTGCCACAATAAAACCCTGTTATCTCTATTAGAGGAGTGAGCTCGTATTTCACATCGGGGTAAGCGGGACGGAGCAACAACTGAAACATCGGTGCGTTACCAGCGTTATTCTCAGAGTAAAGGTGAAACACAGCGCTGCACCAGACCCTAGGAAGAGAATTAACTCTGCTGCAGCTGAAACCAAGGCAAAGGCAGAGAGACAAGCACAGTGGCAGGGCGCAGGATGCCGGGCCAGGAGCCTCCGAGGCGCCAGAGATTCATCAAGGGAGATGAAAGCAGAATCAAGCGCACTATGGGCTCCTGACCCGGATCGCCTCCGGCAGACCACAACCCTGCTGCACCGGGCGCTGGGAAGTTTCCGCGCCGGGCGGCCAGCGGGCAGGAGACGCCCCTCTTCGCCGGCCCAAGGGACGGTCCCCGCTAACCCCGCACCCCCGCTGGAGTCGGATCTCACCTGCTGCTGCCGCTGCCGGGACCCGGACCCTGCCCGCCGCCATTGCTGCGCCCGGGCGCTGCGTATGGGGCACACCGAAAAGGCCCGCCGGAGGGACCAGAACCGGCCCGCGAACACCGGGCTGCGGCCACGAGCACCCCGGTGTTCCACCGCGCACGCCCCGACACCTGGACGTGGAGCGGCTGCAGCGGTGGCGACTGCCCACCGGGAGGCGGCGGCGACCACGCGGCACGGACCGGAACGCTACCACGACCACTTCCAGCCAACAGCCGCGGGGACAAAGGGAGCGCCGTGGCTCATGCGCGGAGTCCGGTCTGCAGTACCAAACTCCGGACACAGATGGCAGCAGCGAGCTGCTCCCGGCTCAGTGCACGCACCCCCATCACAACTACCTGCAGTACCGAATTCTGGACACAAGATGGCAGCACGGAGCTGCGCCCGGCGCCACGCGACACAACCCCCAAACCTGCTGTACCGAGTTTTGTGGGGGTATTCCTCCTCTCAGGCACCCTCCCCTGCCTCAATCCTTATAGACTCAGAATCAGGGGTTTGGGTATATTTTGAGGCCACCACAGAGGCTCCGGCTGCACAAGCACAGCCTGTCATGGAAAGGTCTTTTTGGGAGAATCAGCCCCAAATCAAGCTGTTACCCCCCTTTCTCCAGAGGACTCCCCCATCCTCTACTCACTTGTTCCTCTGCCAAAACATTGCCAAGCACCAGCTTTCTGTCCTGCTGGCACCTTGGGCTTAGCAGAAGGGGCTGGATGTTTGCAGCCCCAACTTTCTCAGCCAGGCTTCATACGGGAGGTGCTCAGCCCCTGATTATCCTCGTGGCCTCTTCTGGACTTGCTCCAACAGCTCCATGTCCCTCTTGTGTTGAGGACACCAGAACTGCACACAGTGTTGCACATGGGGTCTCATGAGAACAGAGTAGAGGGGCAGGATCACCTCCTTCGACCTGCTGGTCACGCTCCTTTTGATGCAGCCCAGGACACAGTTGGTTCCCGGGCTGCAAGTGCACACTGAAGCCGGCTCATGTTCAGTTTCTCATTGACCAACACACCCAGATCCTCATCCGCAGGGCTGCTCTGAATCTTTTTCCTGCCCAACCTGTAGCTGTGCCTGGGATTGCCCCAACCCAGGTGTAGGACCTTGCACTTGGCTTGTTGAACTTCATGAGGTTGGCATTGGCCACCTCTCAAGTGTGTCGAGGTCCCTCTGAATCACATCCCTTCCCTCCAGTCTATCAACCAAACCACACAACTTAGTGTCATTGGCAAACTTGCTGAGGGTGCATCAATCCCACTGTCCATGTCAGCGACAAAGATGTTGAACAAGGTCCCAACACCGATCCCTGAGGGACATCACTCATTACCCATCTCCAGCCGGACACTGAGCCATTGACCACAACTCTTTGTGTGTGGCCATCCAGCCAATTCTTTATCTACCGAGTGGTCCATCCATCAAATGATGTCTCTCCAGTTTAGAGACAAGGATGTCGTGTGGGACAGTGTCGAACGCTTTGCACAAGTCCAGGTAGATGACAACAACTGCTCTACCCCTGTCCATCAGTTCTGTAGCCCCATCATAGAAGGCCACCAAATTGGTCAGGCAGGATTTCCCCTGAGTGAAGACATGTTGGTTGTCACCAGCCATCTCATTGTTTTTCATGTGCCTTAGCATGCCTTCCAGGAGAATCTGCTCCAAGATTTTTCCAGGCACTAAGGGGAGACTGACTGGTCTATAGTTTTCTGGGTCATCCATTTCCCCCTTCTTGAAAATGCGGGTTGTATTTCCCTTTATCCAGTTGTTGGGAGCTTCACCTGATATCACCATGGCGCAACTGCCATGTTTTTTCAAATATGATGAACAGGCATGGATTTGATGGATGGACTACTTGGTGGATAAGGAATGGGCTGGATGGTCCAAGATTTGTGGTCAATGGGTTGATGTTCAAGTAGAGATCAGTGACATGCTCCTTGGGGGTCAGTGTTGGGGCTGATCCTGTTCAACATTTTTGTTGTCAACATGGACAGGGGGATTAAGCACCCTCAGCAATTTTGTTGATGACTCCAGGCTGTGTGGTGCAGTCGACACATTGGAGGGAAGGGATCAGATCCAAAGGGATCTGGACAAGATGGAGAGGTGGGACTGTGTGAACTTCATGCTCAAGAAGGCCAACTGCAAGGTCCTGGGTTAGGGCAGTCCCAAGCACAGACACAGGCTGGGGGAGACTGGGTGGAGCAGCCCCGAGGAGAAGGACTTGGAGGTGTTGGATGAGGGGGAGCTTCCCATGACCCAGCTTCAGTGTGCGCTTGAGCCCAGAACCCCCTCATATCCTGGGCTGCACTCCCTGAGCGTGAGCAGCAGCTCAGGAAGGGGATCCTCCCCCTCTGATGTGCTCTTGGGAGACACCCCCGGCAGTCCTGGTCCAGCTCTGGGGCAACAGCACAAGAGGGACGTGGAGCTGTTGGACTGAGTGCAGAAGAGGCCACGGAGCTGCTGCGAGGGCTGGAGCAACTCTGCTCTGGAGCCAGGCTGAGAGAGCTGGGCTGGGTCAGCCTGGAGAAGAGAAGGCTCCTGAAGGGGAGACCTTAGAGCAGCTCCAGTGCCTAAAGGGGCTACAAGAAAGCTGGAGAGGGGCTTTGGACAAGGGATGTAGGGACAGACCAAGGGGAATGGCTTTAACCTGCCAGAGGGGAGATTGAGATGAGCTCTTATGCAGAAGCTCTTCCCTGTGAGGGTGCTGACGTGCTGCCACAGGGCACCCAGAGAAGCTGTGGCTGCCCCATCCCTGGCAGTGTTCAAGGCCAGGTTGGACACAGGGGATTGGAGCAAGCTGCTCTAGTGGAAGGTGTCCCTGCCTGTGGCAGGGGTTTAGAACTGGAGGAGCTTTAAGTCCCTTCCAAGCTAAACCAGTCTGGGATTCTGTGAAAATTATATCTTGGCCCTGCCTGCCCAGAGAACCTCTGGCTTAGAGCCCAGAAGTGGTGATTGTCAGCCCCAGAGGGTGGGAGGTTATAGGATGTCTGTGCATGCAGTGTGGCCACAGTGGAAAAGGCAGTCGCAAGGCCTGAGCTTGTGAAGCTGTTCTGGCCCTCCAAGTTGACTGACATGAACACCAGTATGAACTGAAGCATGTGGAGGTACTGTAACTACTCAAAATAAACACAAGCCACCTTCTGCTCACCACTTCAGGGATACTCCAGTAGTAAATAAGGACGCTGGAACTGGATAGAGGATGTTGATAAGAAAAATCAGATAGACCTTTTGCCCAAAGTTGTAAATGTAACTGCAAGGCAGAGACAGATGTGCTTGGCTAATTGCTTGGAAGCATATAAATATCATGTAATCCTTGTAATAAACGATCCAGCTTGTACTCTACCTATGGGTCCTTGCCTTCCATCCTCACAAATGGCGCTCGAGCAGGGACTTGATGGAGAGCCGTGACTCAGTGATCGGTGAGGAAGCCCAGCCAAACCCCAAAAGAGCTGTCCAGCAATTGAATAGTACCTCTGATTGAGGTGAGCAGCTGGGAACATGGGGAACTCAGTATCTCCCGAACACAAATCAGTGTTCAGAGTGCTAATAAAATTCCTAGAGAAGAAGGGGATTACTGTAAATGAAGACAGACTGAAAGACTTGTTAATATGGGTCTCGACCCATGCCGCTGAGGTGACATCAACTAATATTTATCAGAAGAGAATATGGGAAAAGATTGGGGTCTGCCTCTAGGATGCAGCCACAAGGGATGATATGGCAGCCCCCAAATTGCTGGCCGCATGGCGCTCAGTCTATGAGGCACTTGACGAGGCAGCACAGGAGGCATCGGCAACATCAGCCCCTCCTGTCCCAACAAACAACACTCCAGATCCTCTCGACCCATGGCCAGTAGACCCAGAAACTGAGCCAGATCTACTCCCGCCTGACCCTGGCATTGGCTGTCATGAGACACAAGCTTTGCTGGTACTCACGTACCCCCCGCGCATATCGATCTGTGGGAAGATATCCGCCGGCAGGCTGCAACAGCAAATGAGCCAGCCAAAGATGACCCTTTTGATCCCGACCAATCGACCCTGACAGAGAACCCCACCTCTACCCCCCTGACCCGCATGATATGTGAAAAAAACATTTAAAAAGCAGCAGAAAAGCAAGGTGCTGTGAACCTGCCCCACAGCCTGAATGCTCCACATCCTGTCCGTCACGAGGAGAACCGTGGGCCGGACGGCGATGAGGAAAACGGCGCTCCCGCGGCAGCCGAGTGGAGGCTGCAGCGGCGGCTCCCCTCCGGCCGAGGGGCTGCGCCTGGTGGCGGCGGGACAAGGAGCTGCGGAGCACGGGCGCGCCGCCTCCACCTCCCCGTTGCCGCGGCCTCACTCACTCGCCCGGCGGCGGCAGCAGCAGGCTCCGGCGGGCTCCCCCCATTGCCTGCCCGCGGGCAAAGGGCTGTGATACTCGCCCGCCCCTCGCCTTTGCTCCGGCAGGCGCGGGTACGCGCTGAGCCCGCCAAGATGCGCGCTGCGGGGCGGCGCGGGGTCCACTCCTCCCGGTGAGAGGCGGGAGGAAACCCAGCCTCTGCCCCGGAGGTTTTTCACCCCCAGCAATGGTCTGTTAACAGAGAACGATTCAGTCAAACACGCTACCCTTCAAAATAGAGCTGCCATGGATTTTTTGCTATTAGCTCAAGGACATGGTTGTAAAGACTTTGGTAGAATGTGTTACATGAACCTGATCATTCTGAGTCTGCCCGTGAGGCAATTCAAAACCTAAAGGATGGAGTTCAGAAGTCGCGAATGGACAGTAGCTGGAATTGGCTAGAGAGTTTGCTGTCAGGATGGGGCATCAGTGCATGGTTGAAAGACATTATTAAAATTGTGATAAACACATAAATGTATGGGCTTTGGCAAATCATAGGTGTGGTTATGTGGATATAACTGTACGAGTTTACAATAACAGAAACAAAACTCGCTAAAGACACAAGACTAGACAACAAGTTAAAAAGGTTCAGATCTCTTGATCAAACCGGAGTCACATAGCAAAAGAATTTGTAAAGGTAAAAAAAAGGGCGGGGGGGGGGGGGGGGGGGGGGCTTGATATAAGGAAAGCTAGCGTCTGGAAAACATAAAGTACTTTTTTAGCTTAACTTAGGTTGTAGAAAGAGAACAATGTTTATGTTGTAAGTCTGTGGAATGTAGTGGCCCCACAAAACATGAGTTAATTGTTCCACACTAGTCTTCTAAAGTATCTTTAGTTTTAAAGAGCAATGCTTGTGTTGTAAGTCTGTGGTGAGATAACAGGATTTAGTGGCCCCACTAAACATGAATGAGTTATTTCACACCATCCTTCTACTTATCAGTTAGTTTAGAGACAGAGCCTCCCAAGCATCTGCTAGCTTGGGATACTCCTTGTCTGCCCATCCTGCAATAAATTTTGCAGGAAGGTCACACTGTTTTAAATCTTTGCTAGTTCTCAGAATAATTACAGATATAGCTGGTTGTGTGATTGCTGGGGGGTCCAACTGTGCCAGAGGTGAAAAGTACACTGTGAGGAAGACTGCTTACTTCATCTTGAAGACCCCTACTCACAAGAGGAAGACTGTTTACCTCATCCTCAAGACCCCTGCCCACAATCACCACAGAGCAGTGCGCAGACACCAAGAGGAGAAGACTTATGATAATAAATTCTTGAGGCTAGTTATAATATCCCCCGCCCATACGTGGGAATTATGACTATGTATGTAACTAATGTAATAGTGAAAGTATATAAACCTGTAACAAATGCTAATCACTTGCGCCTCTGGCTACAGTCATGTGCCCAGCGCTGTTGCTTTTGCTTTATTGACTTTGTCCCTCAATAAAACCTTGTTATCTTGTTTAGAGGAGTGAGCTGGTATTTCACAAAAATCACAGCAGCCTGTGTAAAAATCTTTTTATATATTTTAATCACAGTTCCTTGTTTAATTGCTTGTATAAATTGTTTGATTGCTAAGTCTATTAACAATATTTTGTTAGTTTATAAAGAAGGGGGAGATGGGGGGAATGCTGCACAAGAAGCTGCGCTAGCAGACCTGGATGAGAGCCCAGACATCTGGACTCTTATCAGCCACAAACCTTGGGAGAAGTGAATGGGACAAGTCGGGAAGAACTGGAGAAAGAACATCGGGTGGAACCGAAGAAAGAGCATCAAGATAATTTCTGAGGACTGTAAATTTGGAAACAGGAGGATGCTTAAGACAAGACAAAGAATGTGTAGTCAAGGGGAAGTGGAAGTGAGATTGTAACGAGTAGTGATAGCAAAGAACTATTTTAGAAATAATTATTCAAGCAAAGGTGTGTGGACAGTAATGTGGTTGGCTGAAAAAGTGCGTGATCAATAAAATTGTTTTGTGATGGAAAAGTACCAAAAGAACTAACCGCTACTAACCGCTAAGCAGAATACTATAAAATCCTGTAAGCTCACTCAACAAGGGATTTTGTTTGTAGCCAGAAACAGAGTCCATGCCTCAGTTGCCACAAGATCAGGCCTGGCAAAGGGTGCTATCCCATATAAAGGATGGCCCATGTGCAGTAGGGACCTTAGGTATGTTTATCCCTAATAACACTATGATAATAAATAAACGAGGATTGTGTTCTCGAAGGTCAACGCATGCTTTTCAGCTGAGTTGGGATGACAAAGTAAATTTTTGGAACCCGGGTGAAAAAACAGCTACTTCATTTTCAGCTGCTGGAGTAGCTAGTGCTCAAGCTTTAGCAACATTGAATAAGTTAGGATGTTGGCTTCCTAAACAAACTAATGCTACAGCACCTGCTCTCTCTGCTTTGCTCACTGATGTCGACTCTATTAGGCAGCAATCAATTTTCTCCTCTTAGCACATGGGCATGGGTGTGAAATTTTGGAAGGAATGTGTTGCATGAATCATAGAATCATAGAATCATTAGGGTTGGAAAGGACCTTAAGATCATCTAGTTCCAGCCCTCCTGCCGTGGGCAGGGACACCTTACACTAAATCATATCACCCAAGGCCTCGTCCAACCTGGTCTTGAACACTGCCAGGGATGGAGCATTCACAACCTCCCTGGGCAACCTACTCCAGTGCCTCACCACCCTAACAGGAAAGAATTTCCTCCTTAGATCCAATCTAAACTTCCCCTGTTTAAGTTTTAACCCGTTACCCCTTGTCCTGTCACTACAGTCCCTAATAAAGAGTCCCTCCCCAGCATCCCTATAGGCCCCCTTCAGATACTGGAAAGCTGCTCTGAGGTCTCCACGCAGCCAGACCATTCAGAATCCATACATGAAAGTCTCCACAAGTTGAAAGACAGTATGAAGAAGTTAAGGGAAGATGATGCAGGGGGTGTAACTGGGTGGCTACAAAGTCAAAGGACTTTAAATGCTATAAAGGACGATTGATCTTCTTCTTTGCCCTCTTTGCCATCATATGTGTTGTACCTTGTTTGTTACAATGTATGCAGCGAATGTTATCCCAAGCTTTTGAGAGACATGTCTCTACTGCACTGATACAATAAGAAGGGGGAACTGGGGGGGTTTGAATGCATTGCAATTGTCAGAGACCATGGGAAGGAGGAACTACAGCAGGCAATTAAGAGTGACCCGTCCCTGACTGGTACTTGGAAGATGTTGGAACTGGCAAGGAATAAGGATGTTGGAACTGGATAGAGGATGTTGATACGAAAAATCAGATAGACCTTTTGCCTGAAGTTGTAAATGTAACTGCAAGGCAGAGACAGATGTGCTTGGCTAATTGCTTGGAAGCGTATAAATATCGTGTAATCCTTGTAATAAACGATCCAACTTGTACTCTACCTATGGGTCCTTGCCTTCCATCCTCACACTAGGAGTAATGCAGACATACATGCTGTAACTTTTTTAGCCTTTTTCTGCTAGATGTATTATTATACATCTAGCACAATACAACACTTCCCACTGCAGGCACCTAAAACTCCCCATCAGCTGCAGAAGCTCACAGTCAGATCCAATATACACAATGCTAAGCAAACCTGAAGCATACAGGAATTTTTTTCTCTTGTCAATCTACTTTGGCTCCTTCATCTCATTTCCAAAGAGATGAAAATACCAGTACACAGTTTACCTTGGACACCAAAAGAAAGGAGACTGTGCTTTCTAGAAAGCACATGGGCCTGATGGTGCAGGTAGAGTATGCCTGTCTTTAGGCAAAGTGGGTTGAGCACCTATGGACACTGATGTAATCCTAGCCTGAAATGGAACCAGGGCTGCAGGGCAGGGACAAGCCAAGTCCATCACCCTAGTCTCTAGTCCCAGGTGGCAGCCAGGAAGCAGATAGATGCCACAAAAGCAGCAGAAGAGCCTGACTCCCACCACATCCCAGTGCTACCAGCTGATGGAAAGACTGAGCTCTGCTTCTGTCAGTGAGGCACTCCAATACAGCAGGCCAGGTCAGACGCACTGAAGGCACTCCTGGCTGCTGTGTGCTTAAGAAGAAGCCTGACAGGATGGCCCACGTGTGGGGTCTTGTGCCCCACGAAGGAGGGGATCCAGGTGTGACAAAGATGTGACATGGGGCCAGGACTCAACCCAGGTTCTCCTAGGAAGAGGTGCATGGCAGATGTGTTAGCACATTGGTGGAAGATATGTCCACTGCTGGCTGGGGAATGTCATTCATTCCACCATGTCCCAGAAGGGGATGGAGGGATTTGTGAGTGCATGGCACAGTTCACACAAGCCCTCGAGTCTCCCATGGGTTTGAAAGCTGGTTGCATTTATAACCTCAGCTCAGATGCGAAGTAACTGTACCATCCCTTTGCTTGCTCCAGCTCTTGTTTTGGCTTCCAGCCTTTGCAAGAGATTTGGTTGTGTAAAGTTGTTTCTCTGCTCTGCCTTCTGTATCCAGAATACCCTGTGGTTATCCTCCTTTTTATGTCCACAAAGCTGCAAGTTCCAGCTCAGGGCAGTGGAAACCAGAAAGACTTTTATGCAGTACTACAGGAATTGCTTATGCGATACCACCACGGGTATCCCACATGAAGGGCAGTGTCCCACGGCAGTTTTTGAGCCAGTTATACGTTTACATGTTTATGTGTTAACATGTTCACATGCAGGACCTAGCTGGGGTCATCCAGGGCTCTCCAGAGCCAGCTCCCCTCCCTGCTTGTACTGCAAGAAGCTTGGGCTTCTCAGGGACTGTCCCAGACAGGGTAACAGCCCCTTCTCCAGAGAGGGGAGAGCTGTGCCTCACACCCACTGGGGCAGGATGCAGTTGGCAGGACGCAGGGTACACCCTCACACATTTGTGTGTCCACAGGAGACATGGACAAGGCCCCAGGACTAGCAGTCACCCACAGTCAGGACATCCAGCCCCTCCCTGCAGGACATCCCCACAAAAAGCATCACCCCAATGCCCATGCTGGCCTGGAAGTGCAAAAGGAAGGAATGAACCCTGCCATGACCCAAAGTTCAAGGCAGATAAGCTCACACGTCTCCTGCCCCTCCTCCAGCCTGAAGAAGCCCAGCCGCAGCCCAGACCAGCTCAGTAGCCTTCACCAGTCTTGCTACAGTATGGGATGTCTTTCTTGTATGGGAGACCCCCAAATGGGACATGGCATGCAGAGCAGAGTGTGTGAATCACTTCACCAGCCCATCCCTGCACACTTGCCAACGCAGCCCAGGACCTGCGTGCCAGCCTCACCGCACAGGACTGGGGCTACCAGCACTCCCCTACTCAGTGGTGCCCCAGGAGCTGTGTCAACTCCTTGGGCTCTCAGCCCAGTGCTGACCTTGCCTGTGACTTTGGGTCTTGCCAGTGGAGCTGGTGCAGGCCTGCACAGGGCTCAGACCTGCACCTGCTGGCCAGACCCCAGCCTCACCCCAGCAGTCAGCAGCAGGGCAGCAGTTGCCTGCTTAGACACTGGGGTGCCCTGTGGCGTGGGGCTAGCCACATCCCTCCCCACCTGCTTGGGGGATAAAGACTGGAACCTGGGCATCCTGCCTTATCTTCCATTTATGTTTCAGACAAACCCAAACTGGGTCCTGGGTCCCTGACACACTCACACACTTGGCAGCCAAGGCTTCAGGGTCCTGCCAGTGTGGTGCTATCCCCGTGGGGCCACTGCAGGACTGCAAGCACAACCCAGGCATCAGGCAGCCCTGGGGCATGCTGGGGGTGCAGCGGACAGGAGCACAGTGCAGGATGGCAGAGCCCTCAGCAGAAGAGCTCTGTGGTTCCTGGTGGGGTGGATGAAAGCTGGTTTCACTGGCACAGGGCATCCCCTTGCAGAGCCCACCCCAGCACCAGCATGCCAACCACATCCCGCTTGGTGAACACAGCCTCCAGGGTGGAAAGGTCCTTCCATGGGACAGGGGACATGTGAGCTTAGAGGTGGCCCACCGGGTGACACAGCATCTGGGAGGCCTTTGCAACACCTCAGGCCATGTCATGGGTGGCACACAGCAGCTATATCACTGTTGCAGTGGACTTTGCACTTGTCTGTGGCGTTGGCCTCTGTCCATGCTGTTAGGGAAATCCTGATAAAGTGAGAGAAGGCTCTGCTGCCAAACCCTGGCTGCCAGCCCCTGGCTGCCCTGCAGCACTCATGGGAGCATGGAGCTCTGCAAACGGTCCCATCAGAGCATAACCCCGGTCAAGTACTTAAAACACAGGCTGGCTCCAGAAGCAAGAGCTGCACTGGAGGAATCATGATGGCTCTTTCTGACTCGTCCTTCTCTTTCCAGCCCTTTATCAGCTCCCTGTTGGCAGAGATGAAGCTGGACCTCAGTGCATCACTTCTCTGAGGCAGAGCAAAAATCCCTGAGGAATGCAGCAGAAATGCAGTGGAATGGGGATTCCTGAACCCACTGGCCACCCTGATCAACCCTCCCCTGGGGCACAAGGCGGGGGGGAGTGGCTGTGCATGTGTGTGAGCACTGCCATGCAGCCCAGCCACATTCCTAAGGTATTTCCAGGAGATCACAGTTCCCAGATGGGAAATGTACCAGCATAGTCTGGGCCATCAGCTAGAAAGCAGATCTGCAGGGATGGATCTTGGGATCCTGCTGGGCACTGGCTGAGCAGGATCCAGGGATGTATCCTCACAGCAGAGGCCACCAGTGGCCCCAGCTGCAGCAGGACAAGCATTACCAACCTCTGGGAGGCTAAAAGGGAACGGTGGGTTGCTGTGTCCTCTCCAGTCTATGCCAGATCACCCAGGGAAGGCTCAGACTTGTGTGTCCAGCAAAGGACCATGGTGGTGGAAAGGGACTGGAGTAGCAAAAGAGGCTGTGAGAGCTGGGTCTGTTAAGCCTGGAGCAAGGGAAGTTTACAGAGAAGCTATTAACATATAGAAATGCCTGCAGGGAGGCTGCAAAGAGAGAGATCTCTTCTGGGCCCCTCATTGGATGACATTGAGGTGCTGGAGTGGGTCCAGAAAAGGGCAACGGAGCTGGCGCAGGGCCTGGAGCACAAGTGTGAAGAGGAACAGCTGAGGGACCTGGGGGGTTTAGCCTGGAGAAGAGAAGGCTCAGGGGAACCTTATCACTCTCTGCAACAACCTGAAAGGAGGATAAAGCCAGGAAGTGATTGGTCTCTTCTCCCAAGGAACAAGTGATGACAAGAGGAAATGGCCTCAAGCTGCACCAGGGGAGGTTTAGACTGGATATTGGGAACAATTCCTTCCCCAAAGGATGCTCAGGCACTGGACCAGGATGCCCAGGGCAGGGCTGGAGTCACTGCTCCTGGAAGTGTTCAAAAATGTGCTGCTGAGGTCCTCAGTGACATGGTTTAGTGGTGGACTTGGCAGTGCCTAGGTAAAGGTACTTGCATACACCCACACGCACACCGCTGCGCCAGCGCGGGTGCCCCAGCACCCTCCCGGGAGCTCTACCCCACAAAACTGACCCGGGGGTGTCCGGAACCGGGTTGCGCAGGGCGGGGGGTACCTCCTGCATCCCGCTCCTCCTGCTCACCTCCCACGGGGGGGGACGGGGCCGGCGTGGACCAATCAGCGTTGTGCCCACCGGCCGGCTGGCGCGCGGTTAAAGGGGGGTGCGGTGTACGGGGGGCTGCGCGCCCGCACGGAGCTAGCCTGCGCGGTACGCGCCCTTCCTGAGCCCGGCAGCGCTGGTGGAGAGCGCCTGGGCTGGGCGGGGCCGTCCCCGCGCCTGCTGGGTCCGCCGCGACCCCCGCCTGCAGCGCCCCCCGCCCGCCGCCCCCGGTGCCGCACTGAGGAGGGACCTGACGGCGCTGGGGCGGCGCCGCGCGTCCTGTGCCTAACCCGCGCCGCCGCAGAGCCTCCGCGCCGCCGCCGGCGGGGCTGAACCTTTCCGGAAGTGCTGTGGTGCGGGGCCGGTGACTTGGTGGGGAATGCTCGCGAGCTGGCTACTGAGTGGGGAGGGCGAGGAGGGAGCAGCGGTCAGGCGCACCCCATCCTCCCGTCGGGGCTGTCCTCACCGACGCTGCCCGTAGGTCTCTTCCGCGGCCCCGACCGGTGCTGTCGTGAGCACGATCAGTGCTCGGCGCAGATCACGGCGCTACAGTTCAGCTACGGCATCCACAACTACCGCCTGCATACCATATCCCATTGCGAATGTGATGTTTATCTTGTTTAGAGGAGTGCGTATTTCACACCAGGTGCCCCGAAGGCCGGGTCCGGGGGGTCACACACCCCCCGGGGCCGCCGAGCTGCTCACCGCCTCGGTGTGCCCTGCAGATTCCGGCAGTGCCTGCTGGACCTCAACGACACCATCTCCAACATCATCGGAGTCACATTTTTCAACCTGCTGGAGATGCCGTGCTTTCTGTTGGAGTGCAAGGAGTGCATCTAGTGGCACTGGTGGGGAGGGTGAGTGCTCTGGTGCTGTAGCCCCATGGCTGAGCATCTGCTGCAGCAGCCCTGGGCATGCCCTCCCCTGCCGCCACCGACTTGGCTGCAGCAGAGTGGGTGTACAGGGCTTTATGGCATGTGATGTTCCCAGGTGTGAGCGTTATGGTGTAGTACCCTGGCCAGGGTGGTGCAGCAGTGTCAGAACTACAGCCTGCCCCCAGAGGCGACTGGCAGCCCTGCTGTGTAGCCCCCAGGCAAGGGAGGGGAGTTCTCAAGAGTAGGGCACAAGAGCCTCTGAGTCAAGACCCTCAGCTCTACCAGACACAGAGACCTGCTACAGCCCAGCAGCCACAGGGACCAGGTACCTTGTCCCCCGTATCCACCAGGGACAAGGCTGAGCCCACGAGCAGGCACAGTGGGGGCTGGAGGCTATGACCCCAACAGCAATGACCATGTTGCAACAGGACCTTGCTGGAGGAAGGTGAATGCCTGGAGGAGCACTGCAAGGGTCTAGGGGCTCAGCACACCCTGCCTGCCCTCAGGATGGCAGCATCCAATCCAGCCCAGCTGTGGAGTGGTGCAGAGTCCCCCTGATAACTGTTGTGGCAGGGTGCAGACAGCAGCAGGGTGAATGGGCACTGGGGGTAGAGCATGAATCACAGCTGGGGTGTCCCAAGGTCTCAGCGCATGTTGGTTGTGTGCTGGGGGTGCCCCTCACTGCCCTGCTGTCCTCAGGCCTGGGCAGGGTGTGCAAGAGCTACAAGCACTTGGATAAGTGTGAGCACTAGATTGTACCCAGCGAAGTGAAGTACCAGCTGCACAACATGGAAACCTGATGCTCTTCCACTGCAACTGCACTCACAGGTGTGTGTCCAGGAGGAAAAGGCTCTTCCCACCATCACAGGGCACTATGTGCAGATACTCTGGGGTCACACAAGGTGGGCTATCCAACCTGGCCAGCAGCGGCTGACTGCTGCCCTGCTGTGCCCACAGGTTGGCATGGTTCCTGCACAGGATGAGGGACCTCAGTGACATGGAGCTGGCTTTCCTGGCAAACCACATTACCACAGACTGCTTTGTTCTAGAGCCACCCACTGACTGCAGCCTCAATAAAGGTTCACAAGTGTGAAGGGTCACACAAACATAAGCCTGTGGGGGCAGCAGGGTGTCCTGGCAGGGCTGGATGCCAGCTTGGTGTGAAGCTGGTATTGCAAGCGCTGTCCTCTACTGTGCCATGAGTAAGGCTGGAGTGGAAAGGAATGGATGTGAGTGGCAGTGTTGCACTGAGGCTTCTTCAGCACCAGTATTGCAGCAGCCCAGGCTGTGCTAGTACCTGTATATCATCTCAAAAAGACCCTGAGACGCTAGGATTCTTTGCATGTGAACTCCAGGGCCAAGCATCCAGACTGGAAGACACAGCACAGTGGTGTCACTCTCTATGAGCAATGCCTTTCGATGACCTTGAAGCAGAAGCGTCGTGCTCAGTTTCACACCATGCCCTGATGATGCCTGAGTACCGCTTCCTGTGGGGAGGAAAATGTCCTGTGCTGCAGCCATGAGGTGAAGCTACTCAATTTCTGGTTCCTGAGACAGAGGATGTCACAAGGTGCAACTGCTGGGGTGACTGCATGGAGCTGGGGGTGCCACAGCTGGAGCAGGTGAAGCAGATGGACTGAGAAGACTCTTAGGATGAGGGGGTTGTGTATGCAGCAGTGGCTGCCATCCATGAGCATCAAAGCAGGTGGAAAGGAAGAGGAGGGCTTGGGAAAGTGGAACCCCACCCTCTTTAGTCCCTGTTGTTCTCTGGGGCACACAGGTTCTCCCAGGCATGGGGGACAGCACTGCCCCCAACCTGGGTTTGTGCCTCTTCAGCTGGGCCGGCTGAGCACTGTGGTGTGATCCAACCCCCTTCCACAGCCAGGGTGGGATGGGCACTGGTGAGCTGGGCTGGCTCTAAGGAGGGGTTCAGTCCCTGTGTGCAGAAGATGAATACAGGATGGTCTGAGTGTGGTGCCAGGGCAAAGCCTGCTGCCCTCCCTGCACATGCTGTGGTCTCCACAGCAGGGGCTGATCCTGCCACCTCTGTAGTAAGCACAGTGCAGCAAGAGTGGGCAGGATGGTTTATTTTGTCGCTTGCACTAAGTCCAGGCTGAGGCACAGTGGTAGCAGCAGGGAAGGAGCAAGCTTTGATCTAAGGGGTACCCTGGGGCAGTCCTTGCTCTATGCCCATCACCATTGCTACCAGAGCCCTGTGCTCCTGTCCCACCTCATATGTGAAGCCAGCACTCCTCCCATAGGACCAAAGGGTCTTGCACTTTGAATCTCAAGTGGACTCTTCCCCCCACCATACTAGACTAGCCTTGCCTTCCCCTGTGCCATATCCCAGCTCTACCAGGCCCAGGACAGCAGCTCAGGCTGGAAGGACCACAGGGAGGCCTCTATTGCAGTAGTGAGAAATCACTGCAATAAATAAGGGGGAAGAGGGATGTCTCGGCAGGAAAGTGGCAGAGGGAAGCACACAGCAAGCACACTACAGGGAGGAAGGAGACAAGGGTCACTGTATCAGTGGCCCAGGGCACAGCTATGGCTGTCCAGCTCCTGGGGGCTGCTCCCCTCCTTTGGGGAGGTCCTGCAGCCAGGGGGGCTGGTGGGACTCTGGCTAGGGTAGCTCTGGTCTGTGCTCTCCCTCCGCCGTCCCAGAGCTTGGTCGATCATCTCAAGGCGGAGTGCAGGCAGCAGGCCCAGGTTCCTCGGGTCAGCCCTGGCCAAGGGGCTGTCAGCAGAGACATGCCAGGGGCCACCTTGCTCCCGCACAGTCTGGTAGAAAGAGCTGCCCTCCTGGCTGCTGGCTGTTCGCCCTGACTCCTTGGCTTTCACTCCACGGCACCCCAGCTCCTCCTGGGGCAGGTGGATGGTGGGGATGTCCCCAGGGATGCCACGGCGGCTCTGGGGTGAGGGGCTGCGGCTTGTACCCCTGTCCCGGCTTGATGGCCGCAGGATGAGGCCCTGGAACTTGGCTAGGCTGGGGCTTCGGCTCCGGTGCCGTTTCATCTTGCCTGGGCTGGGGCTACGGGACTTGGGGGCCAGCAGGACAAGTGTGCTGTCATCCTCCTCTTCTGAGCTGCTGCCTGAGCTGTCTGTGGGGCTGCTGCCCTCCTCTGACCTGGGCAGGGAGATCTGCACCCCTGCATCAGCGCTGCTGGCTGATCTGGGGCACCAAAGCCACTGTCCTCCTCCAGCCAAGCACCTTATGCACATCACCCCCGGCCTCCCTCCACCCCTCACCCTTGCCTTTTGGCCATGCTGACCTGGAAGGGCTCAGTCACACCAGCAATGCTGCTGGAGGTGTTGCTGTAGTATCCAAGGATGTACTCGCCCTTCCCCTTGGGCAGGGCCTCCTCTGAGAACATCACCTGTAGCGCAGAGAGAGATGATGGGCACCAAGGCTTGGCACAGGGATGCCCCCTCCCACCTCCAGCCCCAGCCCAGAGCCAATATCCCTTACTTCAGGAGAGTAGACCTGCCTAAGGCTCAGCACAGAGTAGTAAGGAGGTGCCAACTTCTACCATCAGGAGCATAAAGAGGTCCCCGTCCCCCCATGATGGGACATGTGCCCAGCAGGACAGGAGGGTTGGCCCAGCTCACCTGTGCACATGGTTGCTTCTCCAAGCAGCGCTCACCATCATCGCTCCTAGCCCAGACATACGACACGTAATCCTTAGGGTGTCGAAAGCCCACCTGTGTGCATGTACATGGGAGAACACTGGTGCACAGGAACATAAGCCTTACTCAGCACCATCACCTCCCACCCTGCCTTAGCTTGCCTCGCTCTCAGCCCCCTCTCCTCTCAGAGCAAAACCAAGAGCTGCCTTGCACCCACTCAACAGTGCCCTGGCCCCCAGCCTCCAAGGAGTGCCAGGCTTTCGACCCTGTGGGGCCCACCAGGCAGGAGAAAGAGGGAACTACTGGATCTGAGCCTCCTGAAGCAGAGCCAAATCCTGCTGCTAGCCAAATCCTGGATAATTGCCAGGGCTTCCCCAGGGAAAGGAAAGCATAGAGCACAGGCCCATGCCATGCACCAGTGCCCACCATTAGGGGGTAGCTCAGAAGGAACCCCACAGTGCTGTGCAGTGCACCCCACTCCCTTCAGCCCCAGCAGCACCCAAGCCCCTACCCGGTAGAGTCCTATCCAGTCCCACGAGCTCCGGTGGAAGCCAGCAGCCATCTTGTACCTGACAACTGCTTGCTCAGGCCTGCTCCATTCATCAGCCACATAAATCTCAACCGGGGGCTTGTCTGTCTTGGAAGCAAACTGCAAGAGAGATGTACACCTCTGTGCCTGGCAAAACTTTGGAGCAGATTCTCCTGGAAGGCATGCTAAGGCACATGAAAATCAACAAGGTGCTTGGTGACAGCCAGCAGGGCTTCACTAAGGGGAAATCCTGCCTGACCAATTTGGTGGCCTTCTATGATGGGGCTACAGAACTGATGGACAGGGGTAGAGCAGTTGTTGTCATCTACCTGGACTTGTGCAAAGCGTTCGACACTGTCCCACACGACATCCTTGTCTCTAAATTGGAGAGACATCAATTTGATGGATGGACCACTGGGTGGATAAAGAACTGGCTGGATGGCCGCACGCAAAGAGTTGTGGTCAATGGCTCAGTGTCCGGCTGGAGATGGGTAATGAGTGGTGTCCCTCAGGGATCGGTGTTGGGACCTTGTTCAACATCTTTGTCGCTGACATGGACAGTGGGATTGATGCACCCTCAGCAAGTTTGCCAATGACACTAAGTTGTGTGGTTTGGTTGATAGACTGGAGGGAAGGGATGTGATTCAGAGGGACCTCGACACACTTGAGAGGTGGCCAATGCCAACCTCATGAAGTTCAACAAGCCAAGTGCAAGGTCCTACACCTGGGTTGGGGCAATCCCAGGCACAGCTACAGGTTGGGCAGGAAAAAGATTCAGAGCAGCCCTGCGGATAAGGAGGATCTGGGGGTGTTGGTCAATGAGAAACTGAACATGAGGCCGGCTTCAGTGTGCACTTGCAGCCCAGGAACCAACTGTGTCCTGGGCTGCATCAAAAGGAGCATGACCGAAGGAGGTGATCCTGCCCCTCTACTCTGTTCTCATGAGACCCCATGTGCAGCACTGTGTGCAGTTCTGGTGTCCTCAACACAAGAAGGACATGGAGCTGTTGGAGCAAGTCCAGAGGAGGCCACGAGGATGATCAGGGGCTGGAGCACCTCCCGTATGGAGCCTGGCTGAGAAAGTTGGGGCTGTTCAGCCTGGAGAAGAGAAGGCTGCGTGGAGACCTCATAGCAGCCTTCCAGTATCTGAAAGGGGCCTACAAGGATGCTGGAGAGGGACTCTTCATTAGGGACTGCAGTGATAGGACAAGAGGTAACAGGTTCAAACTTAGACAGGGGAAGTTCAGGTTGGATGTAAGAAAGAAGTTCTTTACTGTGAGGGTGGTGAGGCACTATCACAGGTTGCCCAAAGTAGTAAATGCTCCATCCTTGGTAGTGCTCAAGGCCAGGCTGGACAGAGCCTTAGGTGCCATGGTTTAGTGTGAGGTGTCCCTGCCCATGGCAAAGGGGCTGGAACTAGATGATTTTAAGGTCCTTTCCAACCCGAACTACTCTGTGTTTCTATGATACACAGTAAGGAAGGGCATGCCAAAGAGCTGCCCCTGCTGCCCACGGCACCTGTCTAGCAGCCCCCAGCCATGGTGACAGCTTACCAAAGTAAGCCCCACACACCCCATCATAAGCTGCACACACAAGCTGCGTGTCTCACCCCTGTGTGCCCACTGGCCCTGGATGGTGCTCACCTGCACTGCAAAGATGGCAGCTACTGGCTTGTGGTCGCTGACTGTGTACTCCATGTGGCTGCAGTAGCAGAGCTGGCTCACTGAGAGGACACTCCGTCTGGGCCGGTGCCCACCCATGCCAAGCCCAACACTGGGAGACTTGATCTTCCAGAGGATGCGGTCAGTCCAGGCAGGTTTCCGCTTCTTGGCACTGCAGGGCACAGAGGGGCATCTCTTGCCTGGCAGGGGCCAGTGGGCTCCACCCCAAGCTGCCTCCCCCGGTACTACCACACGCACAGGCAGGGGACGCAGCTCATCTTGGCACACAGCTCAGTGCAGCTGCAGGGACAGACCTGCACTGGCACCAGCACAACAGTTGCGTCCCAGCTTGCCAGCCCCAGCCTACCCCATCCCCCCATCTATCTGCACCAGCATCAGTCCCTGCCCCACCAGCACGTGCCCTGGCTGGCATCCGTGCCCCACCTGCATCCCTCAGCCGTGCCACCTGCTCCCAGGCCCAGCACATACCTGAGCTTTGCAGTCCTACCTGCTGTCATATTTGTTGGTGCCTACATCAAACTTGAAAGTGGGTGGGAAGTTCAGGGGGCCCTCCTGAAAACCACTGAGGACAGGCCAGGTGCTTTTGGCAATATTCAGCTGTGGGAAAGAAAACAGGAGCACGCCAGCCCCTATGGCCAGACCCCCCTCTGCAAGCCCCGCAATGCTTCTCCACCGTTAGCACAGTCATCCCTGCCCCACTGCTGCCAGCCCCACACACAGTTCTCAGGGTTTGTCCATGCCATGCAAGCAGCAAGTCTGTAGTCCCCCAGCTCTTCCTAAC